CTAAATGTAGGTTTACATGTTTCTTCTTATACAGAATAAACTCACAATGTTTTTCATGTGCTTCACGAGGATGGTCAGCTTTGTATCTTCGTGTGACATGACTAACTGCACCTGAGGCTTCTTGTCAGACAATGTCTCACCTGATGAAACAAGAGAATTTTAGTGAGTGAATTTGGCCGTGGCTCATCATAGAATAGACCGACATTTAGAGACTAAAACAGGACCAATAAATAATATATAAGAAAAACATTTTTCAGATAATGTTGAGACAGGGTTGGTTGGAGGGAAGTGGGATTTGCGTCTAATCTTCCTGAATGAACTGTTCCCACTAATATTTCATGTTTTGTTTGGACTGATATCATTATTTTCTCAATGACTTAAGCATAAAACCTCAGTGTCATTTTTGGCCCCGATTTTCTCCTTAATGTTCAGTATCATGAGCTTTAAATATTAAGAGATCATACAAGTTAAAAGTGTGGGCTGTAGAAGTGAGAATGCAGTGAGTCTAGAGTTCAAATCCCAGTTCTACTACTTATGACCATGTCATCATGACTAAGTTAAACAGCTTTATGTAAAATATAAATTAGTGTTACCTGCTTCTGTTTAGCTGAGATGATTAACTGATACAATTAAAAAGTCATCACATCTTGAGTACTCAGTAAATGCATGTAAATTTACTAAGAGTCTTTCCTTACACATTTGCACCCATTTCTTCCTTTGTTGTAGCAAAGCACCTAATTCAGACTCATATAAGCCATTTGCTTGATCTACTTGAACATTCTCTTAGTTTCATAATATTTCATTATGTGAAAGTTTTTTAACCAGTTTCCTATGGATGGGCAGGTTTTTTCAATGTTTTGCAGCTATTACAAATCAATCATATTACAGTAAACAGCCTGTGCATGCATTATTTTGCACCTATGCACAAATATCATAGGCTAAATTTCCAATGACAGGCAGAATTGCTGGTGAGAGCATATTAGCATTTGTAATTTTGGTAAATATTGCCAAATTGTCTTCTGTGGAGCTTGTACCAATTTGCATTGCCACCAGCAGTGTATGACAGTGCCTGCTAATGTATAACAAAGCTTGTTAATTAAATTTTGGGAGATTTGCCAATCAGATGAGGAAAAAAATGGTGTCAGTGTAATTTAATTTGCATTTCTCTTATGAGTGGGGTTGAGTATCTTTTCGCTGGGTTAAGAGCCACTTGTATTTTTGCTTTAGTGGATTATCTTTTTATATTCTTTACCAAGTTTTCTTTTTGGTTTTGATGTTTTTCTTACCATGGTTTTGCATCAGATAATCAGCCTTTTGTCTGTGAAGTAGTGAAAATATTTCACACTTTTGTCATTTATCTGTACATTTTTGTAGACTTTTCAATAATGTCTTATGCCAAGTACAATTGTTATGCTTCTGGATTTGGAGACATAGCTGTAGCAGTTCATTTGAAATTATGAAGAAGTTTTTGTGCTTTCTTTATCACATGTATAGTTTCATTACTTCACTTAAAATCTTCCCTCCGTTTGTTATTTATTCTGGAATATGGTATGAAGTGTATTTATCTCAACATCATGTATTGAATTTTCCTTTCTTTTGGGGGTCACATACTCAATTTCTGAATGTATTTGGCTTTGCAAGTGTTTATGGGACATTGCATTATGTTCCATTTATTCATCTATTTATACGCTTATACCACACTATTAATTATTGAGGGTTTTATGAGGTTAGACAATTAAGTTTGTGAACTCATCCTAGAAAAAGTGCTTACATACCTCACAGCTAAAGATCACCATGGTCACCTTCAAAGTACTCCCCTTGGAGGAGTATAATATGTGATAGCTATCCATACATCAATTTGATGTTTGATAGTTTTATTGAATTCTCTTATCATTTGTGATAGATTTGTAGTTGATTCTTATTAATCTAGGTATATGATCATATTGCTTGAAAAAGGTGTTGGTGTTCTCATCCTCTTGTCAAGGGTTATGAGTCTAATTGCTTTCTCTTGGTCATTTCACAAATATTGATTGGCCTATTATGGGCAAGACACTACTGGGCCCTTGGAATAGAGGAGACAAAATTTCTCTCTTGGCACTTCTATAGATGCAGGACAGATATGCAAAAAGCAATAAGCATAATAAATAAGTAAAATTTATAATACACTGAATATAATAAATGACAAGGGAAATAAGGGAAATAATAAATGACAAGGGAAAATGAGTAAGACAAAGGCATTGGGGGGCTTCCAGAAAAAGGGACAGGTCACAATTTTAAATGGGCTGACCAGGATAGTCTTTTTTGAGAAAATAAAATTTGAGCAAAGACTGTAAGGAGGTATAAGAGTTACCTACGTGTTAGCTAGTGCATTCAGCACAATGTGAAGTAATAGTGCTGGTCATGGTGTCTTATTCTATACTTTAATG